ACAGAGAAGAGATCAGTACAAACATATTGGAGTTTTCCCCTGTTTCTTATTTGATATTCTGAAAGGAGACCATTTCATGGAGTCATGCCCTACCTTCTCTATACCACCTATGAATCAGAATAAAATTGCTGCTTTGGCATGATTACGAGGGGGACAGGATGAAATTAGTGCCCCGGAACCAGGTCTTCTCACCTACTTAGTTATCTTTGAAAATATCTAGAAGTTCCAATTTGCTCACAGAAGGAGAGGTAATGGTGCTTCCAGAGATTGGAAGATTGTGAGATTACTGGTTATTATTGCAGTGGTGATGAAGTGATCCTGTTGCTGAGGAGGTTATCCAGGCTACATATCAAATCAAAATCACTTTCAGATGTCAGAAATAAACAGGATGAGCAAATGTTGACTGGTTCACCCAAGAACACCACCAGATCCTGTTGAGCTAAGAAGGAACAGACCACAAATCTACCAGTTGCAGATTTCAGGAGCAGATGCTAGCAGAGCAAGCAGTGATCAATAGAACAATCAGGTCATCACAACAGAAGTCAACTATGACCCACATGCTAATCCATGACCCACTTCTCCTGCTGGCACAAGCATATGGTGGGCTACCTCACATATCTATTTACCTAGAGGTGATATTTGAGACATTTAGCAATGGTATGGCCCAGTTAGTGACAGTGTTCATAAAATGAGTTAATTATTTTTTCCTGCACTGAGGTCATGAGGATATTTTCCTGTATTGGTTTTACATAATAAAAACTTTATAGCTATTCCTTTCATTGTCAGTTATTTTAATATATCTGGAATTGATTTTTGTATATGGTGTGAGGTAGGGATCTAATTTAATATTTTCCCCATTAATTACCCATAAAACTTTTCAAAAGTTCCAGATTTTTCACCATGTAAGGAATGAGGTTTGGTGGGATGTTAGTGGCAATTTGTATATATGGATTATTTGTAAGTCAGGCATTTGTTAACTGGATGCTTTATTCCTATCACTTCCCCTGTCCATTAATGCCCCATGCTTTAACCTTTTGTTCTCCAGGTCCAAGTTTTATAGGTTGACACAATGAGTCAAGGTTTTTGGATATATATGATATATAACATCAGGATATATCATTTGTCCAGGTTCCTCAATGGACTAATATGGCAAACAATCTTGCCTCAGTATATTACACACTTGCCTTCCCACAATCATTCATAGGAGAAAAGCCCAAGGCAGAAAAACTATGTGTCAGCAAGAGTAAAAATGAAATCTCTAAAAGCCTGACATTCTTAGAAATTTCTTTACGCCAAGGCCATACAGTTTGTGACTAAACAATAAGCATTTACTCAGTATCTATGAAATGAATTTTAAATTTACAAAGCTTTAAAAAATAGCAAAACCCCTAGTTCACTGCAATAGGCAAACCAGAAATTCACTTAATTTGTTACTCATCGTTTTGGCCTATAAACTCAAATACTTATTAACGCTGTAAATATGCCTTTTTACTGGCTGTCTGACAGCTCCCATGCTTTCTGTGCTGTCTCCTTAAACATTTATGAGTGTTCATGAATATGCAAATACACAATCTAATGTCTGCAAATGGTTGCAAGTACAAATGCTATGTTAATATTTCATACAGTGATGGGAGCAAATCAACAATCATAAATTTTGAACAAATATGTTGCCTCATTAATAACTAATGAAGCAGTGCATAGAGCTGAGGATTTGGCATTTAATACTAGAAGCAGTGTTTAAATAGAGCCTATCAGGCAAGGCCACTGCTTCCAAAAGTTTCACTAAGATCTGCTCCTTCCAGGATGGCTTCTGTTTGGAGATGGGGGACGTACCTGGGGAGAGGGGGTTTCACAATGCTTTTTTAAAAGCCTGAAACCCCATTCCATGGTAGGAATAAGAATAATCCTTACGGTTAATGAATTGTTCAAAAAGTGGACCTTCGTGCACAAGGACTGTGCCTGACTTGGCACACTTCCTTGAGAGCTAGTAAAGACATGTAATATCAGCCAAAGAGAGCTTAAATAGTTAATAGAAACATAGAAATACAGATATACCAAAGGAATTTGATGGGTTAACCTTTAGGTACTTATGAGACCATTTCTGTCTAGTTCCAGGGCCTGTTCTGACCTCAGAGCTTTTGGTTCATTATCTCAATCCTTCCAAACTTTGCCGCGCTCCCACCTCAGGAGTACACCAATTTCTTGATGAATCCAGGTAATCAAATATTAAAGTGAAAACTCACAATCACTATATCCTGAAAGATTATGTCAATGAGTTGGAATAGAGTAAAATAGCAATCACATATTGAAAAGTCACTTTATATTTCTGGGTGTCAATATATTCATTTATAAAATGGATGAAGATCCTTTTTATGCCCCCAAATTTGAAAACTGAGATAACAAAATGTTTCAGAATTATTCAGCTTCCCCGTATTATCATAAAGAGCACCAGTGACCATTTTATAGATCTGCAGGCATAGGATGCATAGCAGAGTGGATAAACTAGTATCAGCTGTAAGAAATATCCTGGACCATTCTCTTAAAAAATAAATTACTGATGTCAGCCTACTTATTCGTTATTTCTGTTCTCTTCATAGAAGTCATCACAATACCTTTAGTAGTAATAGTACTTTGCCATTTTGGAGTGCTTTCTTAGTTATTTTATATCATTCTCACAAGTTGCTCCATAAATAGGTATAAATATCTACATTTTACAGATTATAAAAAGACTCCATCTGAGAGAAGTTAAATCATTTGCTAAAGAGGAAAAAAATTTTTTTATTCAAATATTTGTGAAACTTGGAGTTTATTATTATACACAGGTTTATAAAACAGTCTCTTAAAAGTATTTTTGACATTTAAAAATGGGCTCCTTTGCCATTTATGTACCAGGACCAATTTATTTTCATCTTGTTTTATTTAGGTTCCATTTTCAGTTAGCCTAATTCTCTTCATTGCTCAAGTCCCTATCCAGGCAGAAAATAAAGTATTTATGGTTTTGCATTTCTTGCTCAGTGGTAGTAATATATTGTAACACCTCTTTGTAAGAATCTTTGTGGTGGTGGAACTGTTGTGTATCTTGACTATGGTGGTGATTACAGGAATCACGTATCATGAAATAGCACAGAACTAAATATACATCACACATTAGTACATATAAAACTAGGGAAATTCAAACAAGATTGGATTTTATCGATGCTAATTTCCTAGTTGTGGCTGCCTACTAGAGTTATACAATGCATTACCCTGAAGGAAAACTAAGTAAAAGTACATGGGATCTCACTATATTGTTTCCTACAATTGTATGTAAATCCATAGTTATCTCAAAATAAAACTAATTTACAAAAACATGGTTAATGATCCTTTCAAAAGTCCTCTCTGGTTAGTTAATTCTGAATTGCTCACACACTCCTTTAGGACACTTTGGACCCAGAGGAGCATAAAGATAATGCACTATGTTTTTTGCTTTGACTTTAAGCTACTACACCTATGGAGTATGGGAAGGTGTAGTGGAGAGGCTGTTAGGCTTAGAGACTTGGACACTAACTGAACCTTCTATTGTCTAGCAATGTGACTCTGAGCAAGTCAGTTTCTGCTTTGAGCCTGTTTCCTCATATATAAAATACTATGACAAAATTAGCATAGAGCTAGCTCTTAGTATGAAGCAAAACACCACCTCCCCATTTTCACCACCAGCCAACTTTATTTCATTCACCACAGACTTCTTTTGTTTTCCCTTAAAAACATTTTTGATACAGCTTGTTAAAAAATAAATTTTATATTTTGGAAAAATTCAAGCATTTGCAAGAGAGAATACTTAAATGATTCCTCAATTTAGGGCCAATCGGTCTTCTCTATGCCTCCACCCACTTTTCCAGCACTGTATCTACCCCCACACAACTCACCCCCTCAAACCCCTAATCACTTTTAAGCAAATAACTGACATGGTAGCATTTCACCTGTCAATATTTGAAATGTATTTCTGAAAGAAACAATCAGAAAAACATATTCATGACACTATTACTGTATCTAAAACATTAACAATGCCTTAATGTCATCAAATATTCAGTGTTCAAATTTCCCTGATGTCTCGTCATTTTTTAAAATAGACTGTTCAAATCATTATCCAAATAAGATCATAGCAGGTATTTCTAATGTGTGTTTTTTCTACCAACTAGCGATGGCTTCAGAACCTTTCTCACCATAGCACTCCATCACTCTCACTCCACCAGTCAGAGTTGCTACACAGGGAAATTAAAACTAATTCTCTCTCTGGACTAGAGTTCTGATAAGTCATACTTAGGTTTCTAATTATTTTTAAATCACTATTGAGAATCAGATTTTAAAAAAGCTGCTGGTTCTTTCTCTTATGATTAATCTTTAACTTTTTTCAAAAAAGTTTTTAATTTTAATAAAAATATTAAAAACAGACATTTATATATTTTTACTTCTAAATGTGTTTTAAAAATAAAAGTCATGTTTTTAATCTAGGCTTCTGTGCAATGTGGTTAAGACCAGGGCAGTTGAGGTCCAGCTGAACTGCATTGAATCAAAGAACCACCACTCAGCAGCCACACAACTCAAAACATGTCTCGATCCTCTTGAGCTCTAGCTACTTCATCTATTAAATGGAGATCAAAGAATACCTACTTCAAAGGAGTGTGGAGAAGAGCGAGTGAACTAATTTAAGTAATTGATAATAATTATAAGCAATTAATAATGATGAAAAATAACAGGCATAATAACCAATCAGGAGTTAGTATTTATAAAATTATATTCATTATTTTATTTACTATGTTACTTAGAACACTACTATTACATCATTCTTGGAATCCAGAATGATGATACTGGAAATCTCTCTTTGTCTGAAGGACTGACTTTTGGAAACTTCAATCATTCTTCACACAGCTATTGTCTTAAAAATTATGAGAGCGGGGGAAAAAAGAGACCTGACTTGCAAGGAAAACAAGTTTTTTAAGATTCAAAATAATTACTCTTACCTTGAGAACTGCCCAAGTTGGCAGTGTTCCAGGAGGCCAAGCGAAGAAGGAACAGCATCCCAGGGCCAGTTAGGGTGGGGACGGTAGGGCTCTCATCCTCCGTGGCCATCCCTGTGTTACAGAAGAACAGAAATGACATTCTTAGGTTTACCAAGATGATGTTAAAACTACATCCAAAAACACTGAAAAGGAAGTGAATTGCTTTTTAGAGCTATAGAGTCAGCTCTAAGTTCTTCACCCAGGATAAACACACACACACACACACACACACACACACACACACACACAAAATGGAGCAACACTTATTGAGAGAAATATTTCTGAGAGTGCTTCAAAAACCTTTTTGCATGTACTTTTCAGCACTTTCTGGCACTTCGCCAGCCGGAGGATCCACATCAGACAGATCTGGTGCTCTCACAGGGCCTAAGAGGTACGGTTTTGATCCACATTCTGAAGCTTCTTTCTGTCTTTCTCATTCTATTCAGAGTGCTGTCTTCTTTAAATGTGGCCACTCAGCATCTTCTGTAGTTTTCCATTTCCCAAATCCTCTGGGGTAGAGTAGAGTGGAGTCATGCTTGGCCCACTGGCTGAGCAAAGCTATGAAAGAAAGAAAACACCACCAAGCCAGGAGGGCAGGAAGTTCTTCTAGAGCCAAGAACATGGCTTAGTCACTGAATAAGCCAAAAACTGAGCCTGGGCAATGGGTCTGCTACGCCTCAGTGGAGGGGCACAGAGAGGAGACTGAGTTGGGGGAAGTCAAGACCAAACCGTCTCTTGGACCTGAAATTGCCCAGGAATCCTGAAAACAGATTGTGTTTGGAAGACAGGGTGTTGAAGCCAAGAGCTGCCTGAACCAGCCCAGACCAGGGAGCCAGCCAATCCGGACGGGATTTTTTTTTCCTCCCTTTTAATGATGTTGTTTGGGACTCCGGACTGACATAAGGCCTGGTGGGTGGCAGAGAGAGACGGGGGACAGGAGAGCTTTGGGATTTTTCACATCAGAGTGAGAAAGAGAACAAATGGTGGTCACCAAAGATAGTGAGGGAATAGAGGACAGTGACGTTTTTGTAAGGCATAGACTGACCACTGCCTGGATGTCGGGGCAGGGGAGCTATGTTCAGAATTACCAGAGACCTTTACGAAACCACAGGGTTGGTTACCGCTGGTGAAAACCTCTTTAATCTCTGCCCTTCGACTTGAATTCTTATTTTGAAATTGTAGAGCCTGTGCTCACCCTCCCCTGCTCCTCCCAAAGTTTTCCCAGCCTTACGGGTGATGCCTAAAGCTTAAAGTGCGTGCTCAACACTTCTTTCAGAAGGAGAGAGAATTAAAAACAAGAGCAGGGAATCAAACAAAAACAGGTTTTTCCTTTGATTCTTCCTTCTGTTTCAAACCTCTTCTCTTCCACAATGGGTCTCCAATTAATCTGCTCTCAATTGTTCTCTGAATCGTTCAAATATTCCTTTAAATGTGAAGCATAAACTTGTTCCTGCCCTTGAAGTCTGGGGAGGATTTTTTATTGCTAGACCAAACCTGTGTATTATTTTACACAGAGGGGTTTTTTTTTTTTCCTTTCGTAAACTAAACAAAATGAACTGAAGAAAAACCACAGCACAAAATGGTCAGGATGGAAAGTATGAAAATTATCTTTAAGTTAGTGGCCAAGCGGCAGATAAGGAGGAATTTCCCAAGGGAAAAATAATCCAGAGGGCACACACTGTTGTTTTATAAACCAGATGGGTGCCTTTTGGGGCTAAGAAGCTCCAATTTACTCTCTGTAGCTGAACTTACTATGAGGTATATTAGTGACAAAAAATGGATGCAGTTCAGAGTCCTTATTATAATTAGGTTAGGGAGCAAGTGAAAATGGAAGAATTCAGAACAACATGTGAGGAGTGTGCAAGCAAGATTCACCCCCCCGAGCATGCCCGGATGTCCTCTCTTCTGGCTAGGAATGCCCTCCTCCCCTCACTGCTGAGCCCCCTCCTTTCCCCGTTCCACGCTGCTTCTCTGACTTTTCTACACAGGATAACGAAGCTTTTTCAAACATGGAATCTGATTGACCAGAGTTGGAGACCTGGCTGTCCTCAGCTTACTAGCTGCTTTCCCTGGCTCAGGGCACTTATTCTCTGAGCCTGCCGCCTCATTTGTAAAATGAGACTAATCATGACTCCTTTAATAGGTAATTATTAATGTTAAATGGGAACATAGCAAGATATTAACAGTAGTCATTATTATTCATAGCAATGATAATGTTAAGAAAGACCATTTAGCACCTAATACAAAATCAAGGATGATATTCAAAATATTTAATAGAATATTTCCCTTCACCCCACCAGAGCAAACAGGGGTCCTCTTCCAGAGCAGAGGTTCCTGCTCTGCTTAGCATTGACTCCTCAGTTGCTGGTTGTGGGACTGGGAGGGGAGATTTGAAGGGATCTAAGTGCAGGTGGAGAGCTCAGTGGCCTTAGAGCACTGGTTATATACCACCCAAAGGAGAAGTACTGAAACATTTGAATTGCAAGTCCTGCTATAGCAGTGAAAATAGATCAGATATTAACCCTGCTTACAGGGCCCTTTATTACTGCTACTCGTGTTACCTGCCCATGATTTATATCCTCAAAGAGGTGACAAGCTAATAATTGAATGTTGAAGCTAAACCTTGTGCTTCTAACTCCTGAAATTATAGCATCAGCTATCAGAAGTGTTCATGAGATATTTGTCATTTATTTAATTTTTAAATAAAAGGACACTATTATATAATATATCTATGTAGCACTCATGTTTTCACTAGTTTTACAAGGGGATTTATGGTAGTTTAACACACAGATCAACGGATGCCTTGGAATCCATTAGATCAAGGGCAATAATGTAAGATGCTGGTAATAAAATGAGTCAAGCTGTGGTCTTCCTACAACAGAGCCCAGAGCTTTGCGATGACCGAAGCACAAAGGGAAACTAATCTGTTGTACACATTCAGTTGTTTAAAGAAAGGAAGCTCACATGCACACAAATATTTCCCTCTAAGAAGAGATTCTTATCCTGGTAATCATGTGAGAAACACTGAACACCACCTTGGCACGGTCTCCAGAACTGTCCTTCTCCCTTTCCATCTTTGCTCCTGAGACCCTCACCTTCACCACCCATGTACTTTTTGCCCCCACTACTCCAGAAGGTGTGGTGGGGTCTCATACTCCATGGCTTTCCATCCTTGAAGTCTTGGCAGAGGTAGACCCTCTGCCTGAAATTCTCTTTCCTCGCTGCCTCCTCCATCAGACAGCTCAAATTCACCCCCTCTTTGACAAATGGTCGCTGTAGGGCTGGCTCTGTAACACCTCCCTTCATACGCACAAACTAGGCCACCTGTACTCTGTACAGTCATCGCAGCTCAGCAATCAGCTCAGAGAATTTATTCCTTCTGCCTTCCGTCCATGACTTCAAACCATTAGGCTCCTATCTGGTTTCAATTTCAGAGCCTGGTACCTGGATTCTTTCTCTCTGACTTTTAAATGGAAAATTCATGTAAAGAGTCTGTTGGCTTTTGATGTTGCTTCTCCCCAAGGAGAAGGCAGCCTTTTAGATCTCTCCTCTTTGTAACACAGGCTACTTCTCCAGGAGGGCATCAGATTGCACTTACGTGAATTACAAAACATTGGCCAGAGGGAATAGCCAACACAGAAACATTAGGGCCGCATAGTTCCATGTCCTCCTTTCTTTCAGGCACACGGCACTCCCTGCCAGGGCACATGGCTGAGGGACATGGAGTGTGGCAGGGGCCTTTGTGCACTGCAAAAACTTGGCATCCCTATTTAAAGGCTCCAAGTCCCAGATTCTTGGGGTAAGTCTTCAGCCTAGGATCACAAGATGAAGTGATGGATACAAAGCTGTCCCTAGTTCTTCCAGGAGAAATCTCTCTTTCCTTTGAGCTTAGATAACATTCTGAGACATGCAAATTCATCACTTGAACCTTTGTTTGCATGTCTGACTCCCAGGATAATGAGAACTGAGTCATCTGTGTATTTCTAGAACCTTTCATTTACCTCTCATTGCCCCCAAAATTTCTTTTAAATGAATCAGTGAATGAATATATAGCAGAAAGATGCCCAGCATTTTCCTGATGAGCTCCATTTCATGAACGATCGTCCACAGAACTGCAGTTACGCTCAACATGTTTCTGTTCACCAGGTAAAATGTTAGATCAGGAGGTTCTGCAGTTTTTTTGGCTAGCAGCTAGAGTCAAGTCTAGACAGGATATCCAGCTGATTGTTAGGTCAAAATTTTGCCAAGAGAGAGGCTGTCTCTTCCTTAGTAACTTTATTAGAAATAAATCACTGTATGAGATAGGGGTACACCTCTTAGAAAAGGATTTAATGAACTCTGGTTTACATTTTCTTTCTCTTCCTGTGACTCATACCATGTATCTAATGCTCTCCCAAACTGTGGGCTATTAGGCCAGAGAAACTGCTTGCTCAGGGCCATGCTTTGGACAAGAATGGTACCCAAGTGTGCAGATCCTGTGTGCCCCAATAGCTGAAATGGATCTGTTAAAAAATATTACTTCCTTTGAAAGGAAGTTCCCTTGATAATTTTTCTAAACTTTATCAACCAGTGGAAAAGGGAAAGTTAGTCCTGCACATACCTAAACCAAGTATATTTCAGTTTTTATCTATCTAAAGCCTTCTCCCAGAAGATAGCCAGACTTGAGTGTTTTGAACCATCGAGGCCATTACACGTTGATCCTCTCTCCTCTGGCTTGACCTACCGGTTTCTCCATCCCAATTTTTTAAACAGTTAGACTAAGAGAATGTCAATTTAGCATAAAAATTATCCTTTGTAATCTTCACATCTTCATTCCCAGCAGTGGTAAATACAGAAGAGATAATCATTGAATAAGAAGTAAACACTAACTTCTATAGAAAAATTTTCTTTTAAAGGGAAAGTAAAATTGGTCCTAAACATTTCTCAGTGACCAAAACAAAGTGGCACATAGTATGAAATACATATGTGAAAGAATGAATCTGATGGACTGTAACTGAACAGCATTGAACTGTGATTATCAAATAATGGGACCCAATGGTCAGACCTAGGAAAGTAACCTATGAAAATTAAGCTTCTTTTTTAAGGTCTATGATGAATATGCATCAGCAAATCCCTACATCACCTTGACATTTCTGAGTCTCATGATTCAAGATATTCCAAATCCAGATTCCAAATTCACCTTGTGATGAATTAATTCCTAGCCATCTTTTTTGCAGATTTATACAGAGGAGAAATCATAATAATGATAATGAAAGGTGCCCTGAAGTTCCTATTGTGTACCTCTCCCTGTAAAAACCTGAAATACAGGCTTGAGTATCCACTTTTTTGTGTGTGAAGCTAGTTCAGGTAGTTAGGAGCTGAATTATCATTTGAATCTACATGTATCTTAAATACAAAACCTGTGTCCTTTTCTTAGTATGTGCACCAACCAGACAAATGTCTCTTCGAAGGAGTCAAGTTAAA